CGACGGCGATGGCGTTCTTGACGCGCCGCAGGGCGGCCACTGAGCCCACAGAGTGGCTGGGACTGGTGGTGAAAGTAGGGGATTAGGTTTGGAAGATAATTTCCCAAGAAAGATTTCGAACTCACCCGTCCATGATCATCGCATCTAGCGTCGTTTCGCCGTTCTCATCCGGCGAGCCGCCCCAACCAACGGTGTGGTCGCACTGCTCCGCCTGGCAGCGTTCCCCGGCGGCGACGATGGCGTCCAGGGCAGAGCCGTTCTTCAGCAGCGTCGACCACCCTTCAAGAAAAGACAGAAGATGCTTTAGCGATCATCATTTCGAAATGCCGGTCATCCTCTGCACGTCATCTGCGGCCTGCCCTCTTCTGGTTTGTTTACCTCACAAACAGTTTTCACACTTTCTTGCACTATTCGGGTTTCTCTTATCTCTCGAAAACTATCTAGTCCTCGCCCTCCCCACCTAATAACCACATAATTCTTTTCCGCCGAAGAACAAAAGAACTCCTTTGTATTCTTCAGAAGAACTTACCATCCTCGGCGGCGTTGGCAAAGGGCCAAGTGTTGATGAAGAAGGGAAAGCGAGGTGTTGATGATCCTCCGCCTCCTTCAATCGCCTCGGCCTGGTGATCTCGAAGTAGCAGCAACGTTACGGTGACGGCAACGGCGATAGTGAGCAGGGCGGCCACCGAAGAGGACACCCGAAGCAAGGTGCACCGAAACATCTTGGAGGAAAGAGTTTGAGGTAAGGAGAAAGGGTGCTTCCAGTTCAAACCAGGATTAACTTTGATTTTCTCTTTGTCTAGAAAAGCTGCAGTTTCTTTTTTTTCACTCCCTCTAATCTCAGCACTGTCTCTTTCCTGCACCTGTTGAGTATTGTAAAGTAGTAGTCGTTGTTTATCTAATCAGCAGCAGCACTAAAAAAGACATCTCCAGAGACGCAGTAGTAGCAGCTGTCACCGAGAGATTGAGAGTGGCGCGGATTTAATGTTCACCAGGCACTCTTCAACCAATAGAGCGATTACTGTTGCGAATCATCCCACCTCAACTACCAACTCCATCTCTCATCAAAGTCCCGAGTGACATCACCACCACCACCAGAGTGCAATCACCCCCTTCTATTCATCATGACAATGAGCTTTCTGCGAACCTTTACGGCGACGATGGCCACCGGGTACTGCATCACTCGCTTCATCGCCGAGCCCATCCTCCTGCAGGGGCCCTCGATGGAGCCCACCATTCAACACAATGACGTGATCATCGCTGAGAAGTACACGGCCACCTTCAAGAAGAACGAGTACAAGCGGTGAGTTTGAAGCGAAGACTGTTCGAAAACTAACTTTTTCCCATTTTTCCCCTTCTCCAGCGGCGACATCGTCGTCGTCCGCTCGCCCCTCAACCCGCACACCTTCATCTGCAAGCGCATCGTCGGCCTCTCCGGCGACTCGGTTCGCGTCAACTACTTCCCCAAGACGGTGCCCCGGGGCCACGTCTGGCTTCAGGGGGACAACAAGGCGAACAGCACCGACTCGCGGGAGTTTGGCGCCCTGCCGATGGGCCTCATCATCGGCCGGGTGGTGTACCGCGTCTGGCCGACGCATCGCATGCTCAAGTTCACCCGAGACGAGGAGAAGTGGTCGTCTTCCGGTCCGGGAAAATCGGCGTCGGTGACAACGGCAACGAGGTAACAGAGAAAGATGACCGTTGACTGGTAAATAAAAAACCGCAGAGAAACAGAAAGTAGAACTTCATCGGCGTTTTATTTTTGAAGAAAAAGTGTGGGAATATAGGTGTACAAAAGAGATAAAACTTGGTGGAAGATGAAGTGTTTCTTTTTGCTGCTTCTCACTCCTCTCTCTACTGAGTCGGGGGAGGCTTGTTGAAGTTGGAGCCACGGCCGTAGCCAGGGCGCTGAAGGAGGAAGAAGAAAAAAGTTAGGATCTGGGAAGTTGACACATTGAACATCAACACCACTACTTACGTAGCCGTCATCTCGTCGGTAGCTGTCCCGTCCGCCGCCGGCGCGTGGTGGGCCACCGTCTTCGACTGTTTGTTTAGGTAAAGGAAATGCCATCGGTTAGTTAATTTCGAACCCAAACACCGATCACTACTTACGCTTGTCGCGTCGCTGGGCGCCCTCCGGCTTGACCGGTCGCTTCAGCGTGCTGGGCACAATCTCGGCGGGCAGGTGGAGGTACTCGCGCAGGTAGTTGATGCCCTCGTTGGTCAGGTACCAGTAGTAGTGGCGCCAGCTGAACTGCTCCTTCACGTAGCCCTTCGACTTGAGCGACTGCAGGGCGCGGATGACGAAGAGGTTGGTCACCTTGCCCAGCGCCGGGTGGAAGCGCTTCGGGTGGAAGTCCTTCTCCGCCACCATGACGCCCTCCTTGAAGAGGTACTCGAAGATCGCCAGGCGGTCCTTGTTGGGCATCAGCATGATTGCGAACTGAAGAGGAGGAAGATGAAGAAGTCTGTTAGAAAAGTGTCGGCTTGGAAAAGTAGAACTCTGGAACCAAAACAAAGGCCACTTTGACGGCTTCGGAGCACCCCTTAGGGCACTTCTTGGCACCAAAATGACCGGCGAAAATCGGGCAGCACTCTTACCTGTTTGTTGGATCGGGTTGCGGCGGAAGTGGGTACGCAGTGGGGGAGAATCCCGGTGGGCGCGAGACAACAACAGCGGCAGACAGAGGCAAAAGGAGAGAGGCAGAAATCTTACAGCAGCAGCAGCAGTAGCGCTCTTCCGCCGTGCGTGCGTGTTTGGCTGCGCCCGTCCGCAGAGGACGTGGCCGGTGAGAAGTGCGCCTGCTTTGCACGCTGCAAGTTGGTGCGTCAACAGCACGCGTGCAGTTTTATTGTTGCCGATCGACAATTTTTCAGCTTTTGGCAGTGATCATTTGCTTCAAGGAAAAATTACCACGCTCTCCAAACTTCTGAAGACACACACTCTCACACTTTCACACTCTCACCCCGTCAGGGAAAACGACTTTCACTACGACTGTGGTGGCCACGGTAAGTTGGTGATAAATTGAGCGCAATTTCTACATCCAGTGCACTGCAATTTTTGTTTGTTTGCTTATCTTTCGTGACTAGCCTACATTTTCCATTTTCCAACAGGTAATTTTGCATTTTTTAACGTTTTTCTTCTTCTTCAAGTCTTCCTCAAGGTAGGTAGGTGAACTCGACGTCAGTATCGTAGCTACCAGAAGCTGTTTTGTACGGTTCAACTGTCCTGGGTGGTGAACTGTACGATAGTACAGGTACCTTAAGCAGCCATGGTCATCGAGCGCTCTAAAGAGTGGCGAGAGCTCTTATCACCGCCTATCCTTTCTCTCGCTTACTCTCACTTTCACTGATTGATGGCAGATACAGTCTCGAGTACACTGCTGCTGTACAGTATTTTTGGTTGAGGGCATCATCGATGACGGCGGCTAGAGCAGCGGCGGCAAAGTCATCATCATCATCAGTTGGTGTATTGAAGAGGCGCAGGTTCTAAATAGAAAGAGCTCTAAATAAGTTTCCCTAAGACATTTATCAGCTTACTTTTCACTCGCCTGTTCACTCGGTCAGTTAGTGGCTGAAGACCTACGTGCCTGCTTGCACCTTCTTCTTCTTCTTCATCTTCGCTTGTGTGCTCGCTTTTGGCAGTCATCATTCACCATTTACTTTTCCACTCATCAACACCTTTTTTACTCACAGGTGTGCCAACTCCTGAACGCTCAACACGCTAGCAATCAATGATGGCTGATTCGGTAAGTCCAAACTTTGCTTTGCTTTGCGTTTCTATTTGGTTAATTTTTCTTTACTATCTTCAATCAACCAGGGCTGCAACTGCATCTCCCTGGCCGTCTCCGGCCTGGCCATCGGCCTCACCACCTACTTCCTCTACGCCCTCTACACCAAAAAGTTCTGCACGAAGGGGCCGCCGAAGCTGCTGGAGAACAATCAGGAGAAGTACGCCGTGCCCCTCATCGAGAAGGAGATCATCTCCCACGACACTCGCCGCTTCCGCTTCGGCCTGCCCTCCGCCGACCACGTCCTCGGCCTGCCTACCGGCCAGCACATCAGCACCTCGACGACTCTAGATGGAAAGCTGGTCGCTCGCTCCTACACGCCGGTCTCTAGCGACGACGACCACGGCCACTTTGACCTGGTGGTGAAGGTGTACTTCGCCAATGTGCACCCGAACTTCCCCAAAGGCGGGCAGATGTCGCAGTTTCTCGAACAGATGGCCATCGGCGACACCATCAACGTCCGCGGCCCGAACGGCAACCTGATCTACAAGGGCCAGGGCAAGTTTGGCGTTCGCAGCAGCGCCAAGTTGCCACACGAGGTGAAGCAGTACTCCAAGGTAAGTTCTGATGCCCTTTTTGGAGATTTTTCTTTGATTTGTTGACACACGTCTTTTTAGGTGGGCATGATCGCCGGCGGCACGGGCATCACCCCCATGCTGCAGATCATCCGCCAGGTCTTCAAGGACGAAAATGACGGCACGCAGATCTGGCTGCTGTACGCCAACCAAACTGAGGCGGACATTCTCCTGCGCAAGGAGCTGGAGGAGGTGAAGGAGAAGCACTCGGAGCGCTTCCAGCTCTGGTACACACTGGACCGACCGCCCACCGAGGGATGGAACTACAGCAGCGGCTTCATCAACGCCGAGATGGTGGAGAAGCACCTGCCGCCACCGGGCCCCGATACGCTGATTCTCATGTGCGGCCCGCCGCCGATGATCAAGCACGCCTGTCTGCCCAATCTGGAGAAGCTGGGCCATGCGGAGGCGAACCGATTCGCCTACTGAGCAAGTGAGAGAACGATTCAGCTTCGATTTCCAAATGTCTTCCAAGTTTCATTCTGCCCCGGTGGTGGTGGTTAGTCTCGCGATAACATCACAACACACACTACTTGCCATATTCTTCTCCTCCTCCTCTTCACACACACACACCCAACACACACCTCTTGAGCATCAAAGCATGAACACTGGTTGAACATCGACGTTGTGTTTATGTGTCTCTCCGATTGGCGCAATAATAATAATAAAACCTGAATGTTTGTGTGAGCCGCTTCTTTGAGCAAATCTTGGTGACACTGTCATTGGTGGACACTTTAAGCCTCCACGATGGCTGTCACTGATAGATGGCGAAAATATCGACTGTACTGTCCTCTGTGAACAGTGCTTTCTCGGGTCTTCTCTTTTCTTTGCATCTTATCCTCGATGCCCGCCGACGAAGAAGAAGGCGACCAGAAGGCCGGCCAAGGTGACCACCATGGCGGTGCCCCGGTCGAAGGGCGTCCGCCCGCCATTGCACCAGTGGTCGAACTCGCAGAAGCAGTAGGTGATGTTGTTGTAGGGACGCTGGTTCAGCTGCAGCTCCTTGATCTCATTGTAGACGTAGACGTTCTTCTTCGGACTGAAGGTGGCCGGCCGGCAGCCCTCGTAATGGTCCGCGGGAATGTCCCGCCGGTAGGGCATCACCGCGGAGAGGCAGCCCCGGACGACCTTGGTGTCCGCTGAGGGAATTTTCGGAGGGAAAAAGAAGAACATTGAAAACATGAAAATAGAACATCAACATCATCAACAAGAAGTACCTCCCGTCGTCTCGATGATCTTGACGCACTTGTCGTTGTAGTTGGGACAGCTCGTCGCCGAGTGGATCAACCAGTCGACCTTGTCCAGCGTGCAGCCGGGCTCATTTGAGGTGCAGGTGTAGCAGAGGAGGCTGGAGACTGGTGGGAAGAAGAACAAAAACATGAACATTAAGAAACCGTAGACTAAAGTTTCTATTTCTGCCTTCTCCCCCTCCTTCAAAAGCTCAGCAAGCGTTTCTCCGTTGATTAGTTCATTTCTCAACCGTCTCATTAGTGTTTTCTTCTTCATCTTTTTTACGCCTTTGAGTACTAATTACCCTTTCTCTTTTCTCTCTTTGACAGGCGACGAATGCAGGACATGAAAAGGGCGGAGAGGAGAGATAGGAAAACCAACAACAACGACGAGAAATGACAACTGCCACTCATCATCACTCTACCACAATCTCATCTACAACCACTACTCTGCTGCTAATGAACTGCTACAAAGGAAAGCGAAAAATGGAAAGAAAGAAGAGACACCAGCTTTAATTAAAGGGCCTACCTGTTCTCAGCTGACACGTGAAGATGAGCAACAGAAGGGCCCAGAAAACGGCCCCGGAAGAAGAGAAGGAGGTAAATGAGGTACTGAAGGAAGTCATGATGATGATGATGATGATGAAATCGATGAAGATGGTGTTGATGGCAAGTGATTGGCAGTCGTACAAATCGGTAATTGGCGCTCGCCACACCAACACTGCTCTGTTGGCAACAAGTGGGATGATGTGCGTGTTGATGACTCGCTCGCTCGCTCGCTCTTTCTGTTGAAAGCTTCACATCACTCGAAGTTCATCCTCATCTTCGGCATTCACTACCACCACCTGGGTAAGTGACATCAAACTGACTGAATAGTAAGCGAAATTGAGGAAATCGAAGGCTTGGCTGGGTGACTGAGCGTTAGTGTTAGCGCATTCACTCTCTCGGAGTGCAATGTGAAAAATGGTTGCACCGTTGCTTGGAGACGATGAGCAGCAGCAGCAGCACTGTTGTGTCTTCTATAGCGGAGGAACACACCACTAATCACACCGAACTGTTGTGTGTTTCGTAGTTTAGTGTAGTGTCTCCTACCTCGTCGATGCTACCTCGTCGTAGTCGTGGTCGTCGTTGCCGCAACTTCGCAACAACGCTGCTTCTGCTGCTTTCTCTGCTGACTCTCACTACTGAGGTGCAGTGCATTCCACCTGAACGAAAGGAAACGAAATGAAGCAGCTTGCTGGAAGCCTGGCCGACTGACACTGTCTGTGTCTGTGCCTCTCATTATTTTCTCTTTTCATCAGACAGAGCCTGTTTCGCCTTTGCCCCCTTCCCTTTCCCTTCAGTCTTGTCACTTTTGCCCCCTGCCACTTCACACCGACCGACAGCGACCGAGAAGGAGCGGGCAGTTAACTGACTTTGCTTTCAGGCGGCGGCGGTTTGCTAACTAACTAGCTAGCTGGTTCGTTGGTTGCTTGCTTGGTTGGCCACCACCCGAGCACTGAGGATTGCAATCGATGTGTGCTGTGTTTGTCTGTTTGTGTGTTTGCCATTTGCTAACTGGTGTTGTCATCTGCCGCTCTTTGCTCCCTGGCAATGGCAATGCACGCCCGCCGCTGTCACCGAGGCTGCTGCTGCTGTATCTGCTCTACCGGCGCCCGAAACTGCTGCTCATCAAGGTCTCTTCCTTCTGCTTTGCTCTCTTCAGAGCGGAAGCACCTACACCGCTGCAGTTCAGTTCAGTTCACCACAGTCATCATCCCCTCGTGTCATTGTACGCTCATTTATTTCGGCGCCCATTTACCATGCAAACACACACTCACTCTTTTCTATTCAACTCAATTCAATTCAATATTCTATGCGCTATTGTATGGGAGAGAGTTGTTAGAGTGACACTACCGCGCTGACAAGTGCTAACAGGTGGCCATTAAATGCACCGAGCAAAAAGAGAGAAAGAGAGCTAGTGTTGAAAGAAGAGAGCTGACTCGGCAGATTCAGTTTTTTGTGCCGAGTCTAAGAGGGGATAGGGATATTCTCCTTGCAGCACTAACCTACATTCTCATACACACACTGTCTTACTTTTACCACACACTTTTACCTGTATCACATTGCACTTTCTTTCTTACTTACACTTACTTTCAGTCACTCGCTAAAACTTGACTGACAGCGGCAACTCTTTCTTTCTTTTTCTTGCTGACTTTCCGCTTCACTCTCAGCAAGACTGGCGGCGACGGAAACAGGTTTCGGCGTCTTTCTTCTTCTTCTTCTTCTTCGCCTCGAGGAAAGTGAAAAGTGGTGATGTAAAAGGATGCTCTTTTTCGATTTTCAGCCTCACGACTGGAGCGCTACCAAGTGTAGGAGATTCTCACTAAAAAAGCTGTCGTGTTCCTCTTCGTTTTCTCTAATTTCGGGCAAACTTTGTCGATTTATCCCACTCCACCGGCACTTCCGCTCACCTCGCCTCTCGTCTCCAGTCATTTCTCATGACCTTCTCCCCTCTTTTCCATATACACCTCCTCACCCCCTTCTTACCGCCTGTACCGGCCGAAGCCGCCGTTCATGTGGTGGTATAAAAGCGCTCACCGCCTGCCTCTCTCACTGAGCATGACCTGAAGTCCGCACTAAAGGCCGCTTCACAAGCTGGCTCTTTGGGAAGGTCTGAGAGTGCCGCTGGAGAGGAGCCCCCCCTTCTCTCCAGCTTGAATCCTGCTGATTCCCTTCGTAATTCCCCCCAATTCGAAGGACAAGCCCAGAGAAACGATACGGCGTCTTTGGCGGCGTGCTTGGTGGTTGCCTGTGTAGGCTTGGAAGCACTACCGGCAAGCGATGGCTCAACACTGAGCCTGATGCCTCGCTTCCTTGCTGCTTTCTCGACCGACTTCGGTTGGTTGGGGAAGCAGGCTTCCAGCAAAATGAGCGCTGCCCCTTGTGACGCCGGTGAAACGACAGGCTTGTGGCCGGCAGCAAAGTCAACAGTTCGATGTGCGGAGTGGCGAGGTGGTAACACCTGGTCATAACTCAATTCAGACTACTCACGGGTCATGCTTTTTAGTGTTGCTGCCTGCCTCGGATGATCGATGATGCTCGGTGCGGTGCTAAAGACTCGTGATGATTGCACGAGATTCTATTTATAGCCTGAGGAGGCGGAGGATTCTGTTGTTGATGCTTCTGCGACGTTGGCTTATTTTGTTACTTTTCAATTCAGAAAAAAGCAAAACTCACTGAACTTTTCCCTTCAAAGATGAACTCCAACTCAAAGAATATCTCCTCCTCTGGTCACCCTCGGATCATTCGCTCTCGAACTGGAGCCACCAATGCCGCCGGGTGGCTGTCGGCAAGTACACAGCCACCCTCGAACAACAACAACACCTCAAGTGGTGAGCCCAGCGACGTCGTTTACCTCGAGGTGATGGAAGATATAGCCTCAAAGACCTCGAAGCTGCTGAAGTGCCAGCGAAAGGCGGCGATGATGTCCACGCTGCTGGCGGACATGCTCCTCCAGGACTCCATCCTCAGCGGCCGTACAGTGGGCGAATGTGGTGCCCCGGTGCTCCCACTGATAAATGACTACTGCTCGGCGGCGGCCATCGAGCGGGTGATCGCCTACTGCGAGTACCACTGTGATGATCCGCGGGGTGCGACCACTGTTTCTTCGGTGATTCCCACCACGACGACTACCACCACCAACTCCATCGTCAACAACAACATCAACAACAGCTATCGTTCCTTTGACGAGACGATGGACGATGATCGAGGAAACGGAGGTGGTGGCGGTGGTGGTGGAGTTAGTTCTGGTGGTGGTGGTGATCACCAACAGGCAGAGGAGAGCAAACTGGAGATTGCCTGCTACTGGGACCGCTCCTTCATCGAGGCGGTAGTGGCCAACGGATCCTCATCGACGATGTCTCCGACGACGTCCTCGACCACCTCTTCTTCTTCTTCTTCTTCTTCTTCTTCAGCAAACAACCTCCTCGGTCTGAACTGTCCGGAGAACCGGGCCGCCCTCTACGACCTCCTCGTCGCCGCCCACTACCTGGGCATTGACCGCCTGGTGGAGCTCGGCGCGAAGTATATCTGTCGGCAGATAACCGGCAAGAGCTGCGAGGAGGTGCGGGCGCTGTTGAACATTCGCGCTGATCTGCTGGAGCCGGCGGAGGAGCGGCGGCTGCACGAGGAGAACGCCGTCTGGGCCAGTGATCTAAGGGCTTCGGCGGAAACATCGACGGCCTCGGCCTTGGCCAAGGCCAAGAAGAAGTAGTTTTGATGTTGATTTGGTTTTGGGAGTTTTGGACTGTTGTTCTCCAGCTCAAAGATTTTGTTTTTGAAAATAAATCACCCACAATCGATTGCGTGTGACGATTGCAGCTTCGATAGTTGTTTGTTTTGCAGTGTTTTGGGATTCTTTCTCTTTTGGCGTTGCCGTGCCATTTGTACTTTCACTCTCTCTTTTGTACCGGATTCTAGAGTTTCCTGAGAATTAAGAGAGTTTCGAGGATTGAAAAGGCTGAGCTTGAGTACACACTGTGGAAAAAGTTTTTGTTGTTGATCTCTGTGAGTACTTTTTATGGGCTTTTGCTTTTTGTGGTTTTGCTGACGCACTTGTTTTAATTTAGGAGATTGGATCTGCTGACTCGCCCTTTCTTTTTTTCTGGTCCTGGTCTGAATTCTACAAACTTCCACTACCACCACCACCATGGACATTGAGCGCATGAAGCCGGCCGAACGGGTGGCACTCTGTCGAAAGTACTTCTTCATCGGCATTGCCGGGCTGCCCTTTCTCTGGCTGGTGAACGCCATCTGGTTCGGCCACTTTGCCT